AGTGGCTGAAGAAAGAGAGTATTGATGATTGCCTTTTTGTGTGTGTTTATTTTCACTCCTCTTCTCACTTCTTTCCGTCTTCCCCGTATTTCTTCTTTCTTCTTTCTTCTTTCTTCTTTCTCCTTCCTCCGAGCTCGATCATATAGGAAGGCCATGGTTAGCAAATTTTTTCATCACCATTTTGCCCCATATCTGTTATTATTAAAGAGGAAAAAATTAAAAGTAGGCACTGGTTTTTTTTTTTGCTGCTTCTTCCTTCTCCCCCTCTTCTTCATCTTCCTTCTTCTTCCAAACCCCTTTGGTTTTTGAATTCCATTCTAATTTTCGGCTTAATGACGATTTCTAGCTCAAAAGCCGGTTCTTATCGAATCAACACGGCCCAACCTCTGAAATGGCTTCTAACTAGAAATTGAGCTATTTGATACTCCGATCACTGGTCTGGTCAATCTGGTCTGGTTTTAAAATCATTGGTGTGAAGTATACAAGATATTTGTAAAGTGTATACCCAATAAATAAAAGATATTAAGTAGATGAGTCCCTTGAAGCCATGAAACATCTTGAGTTATACTACTTCTGGTTCTAATTATAATAACTAGTTAACTTATTTGAGAAGATTAAAAAAATAAGTTAAGTTAGTTATTTATAATAAATAAGTGTTGTCCTTCCTAAAACATTTTTACTAATTAAATTTATTGGCTATAACTACTATTATTAGAGGGACTACTTTAGAAAAAAAAACATAAATATGAGAGATAAAATGGATTGGATTCTTATAATTAAAACCAAAATAAAAATCAAATGAGGTTTTATATTAATACTGAAATTTTGAGTCCTTTTTAGAAGGTACACAGTGGGAGAGATTAATGATTTTTCCCCCCAATAAGTTCTTACATGAGGTATTTATTATATCTTTTTAATGTTGCTTCTGTTCAAAATGCAGTAGATTTTTTCTTATTTATCAATGCATATGGATTTAAATAAAAATGAAGCTTAAAATTTTTTTCAATTATTTTAAGACAATTTAATAATTCAATCACTTTTCATTAATTTCGAGTTTTAAAATGTCTTATAAAAAAATTAGAGAGAACATATTAATTTTTCAATCACCATAAAATAATAAAATAATTATAAATCAAGATATGGTACTAAATGTATGATCTAATTCAAGAAATTAAAATTTTCAATGTTGCTTGCAGGAGTCATAATTTTCACGTAAAAAGCATAATAACGCTTAATAATGTTTTCTCGATCAGATTCCTTTCATAAAGTATTATATCGAGAGATTTTTTTTTACCTTTCTTTTAATAAGTGGTCGAATGTGAGATATTTAGAGAGAAAAAATTTTTTGCCCTCTCTCTAAGTCATCTCGTTAAAAAACTTATAAGAGTGTACAATTTTATTTCTACTTTATTATTCTTAGACTTCTTAATTTATTTTTTTGGTAAAATAGACTTCTTAATCTTTACCCATTCCTTTATACTTTCTCAATTTCTAATATAAGAATTAGATAATTAATTTACAGATATTAAAAAAATTAATTTTATTAGTTATTTATAACAAATTAAATGTATGTTGATTTTTCTAGAATACAATTTCTAATCATACGTATTATAACTAACATTGGCAAAAACTACATTAATACATTTGAGAGATAATTTAGACTGATATCTTATATTTAGGATTAAAATAAAGGAGAATTGTAATAAAGTCTCAAAAAAAGAATATAATTGCCTTCAAGTATCAATGACAACTTTTTTTTTTTTTACCAGAGAAGTATCAATGACAACTGAGACCTTATAATGATAAGTTTCAAAATAAGAAATAACAACTCCTCACTTATCATTGGGATTTTTTGATAGTTATTTTTTTAATGAGATTTTATTATAATTCTTCCTTAAAATAGACTCATTAATTAGTTCTCATATTTGGTATCAGAACCAATAATAAATACAGTTGAAATTGAAAAATTAATAATATGAAGAAAAAAAAATTCTTCATTTTTATTAAATATGTAAAAAGTGAACCGCAAAAATAAGATCGAAATTAAGGAATGGAATGAATGGTGAGGGAGGTAGGGAAGTAGGCAGGTGGAGGCGTAGGAGTAGGGAGGGCGTAGGGGAGGTGTAAAAGGATGGGTCATGGGCTACAAATTGGGCCAATCTCCCACAGTGTCGCCCTTTCCCCAGTCATCCTCCGCACTTTAGGTCGATAGTCAAACGTCCTCCCCACTTCTCCTATTCCAGTACTCTTCCCTTCCTGCCTCTGCTCCTTATCATTCACGCTCTCTTGTCATCTCTTTTCCCACAGCTTTACTGTAGAAAGAGAGGGAGAGGCAAAAGTATACGATATACTTTATTCAATCAATCAAGTCTACCTACGAGGAGAAACATTATGGCTATTCATAGATCCCAAGAAAATAATAATAAGATGATAAAGATAATCAAATAATCTCAACCTAAATATCTCTCCCACCAATCCTTACGGTAAGAGTTATTTAATCTAATATCATAGATAAATAGTTTAAATATAGGTGTTCATGATGTCAAAAAGCCCGCAATGCCCACTTGGACCCATTGAAATTATGCTCAACTCAACCTTAACAAAGCAGCTTGAAAAATATTTGGGCATTTTTTGAGAATGTCTGGTAGGGCCAGACATCAGACATAGTATGCCTGCTTGCACATAGATTATATATATAATCATATTTAATATGTATATTCATTATATGTAATATAAATATTCAGTATAATTAATATTTTAAGTCTTGAGTTGTTGACACATTTGATTATGGATTTTGTGTGAATACATATCAAGTTGTGTTCAATTATATAATTATAAGGAGATATGAAATGATAGATAAATAAGTCCATTTGTAGCATAGTGTTTATATTTCTTCTTTTAGAATATTTTTAAGTTATAGAACTATAAAATATATTTAAATTCCAAAATATTATTTATTGAGTTTGGCAATGAAAATTTTCACATAATGAAAACAACAAGATGTCACTACTTGGATGTGGAACCCCATCCCAGCCCAACCCACTCACTCAAGGTTACTCAGGCTTTCATCGAGTAGGGTCGGGTAGTCAACTGCAAAATATAACTCGTTCATCTTTTAGGTTGGCGATTAAGTAAGAGTTTGGCCCTATCCAACCTTATCCATGTAGAGCTCTAATTTTAAGAGAGATCATGCCATTTTTTTCAGAATTAATAACTTACTTAGATTCTTTAATTTATCTAAAGTAATTAACTAATTTTAAGAACGGGAGGCGCACTAAATATCTAAAATAATCCTAATTGTATTTTATCCCATATTCCACCAATATCCATGGAGCATCGGCTTCATAAATAAGTCTAACCACTCTAACAACTCCAATTTATCAGATTCTGGTTATTATTTCCCTTTTTTTTTTTTTAACGAGCATCACTTCTAGCTAGTATTATATGAATATTATAATTAAACGTATATTTTGCACTTTCAAGTTGATATAGGCAACGATCATATATATATAACCCTAAAGTTGGCAAAAAGATATTTTATATATATAACCCCCAAAGCATTACCACCCAATTTATTTTCTAATATGGAATGGAGGAAAATATGTTACGTTCAGAATCCTTCGAACAGATATTGTTATATGTTTGCAATGCAAATCCTCTGATATATCTGATTATTAACGGCAATAATCATGTAGCCCAGCCCAGACAGGGCGCGCACCTAACCTTTAATTAAGAAAAAGACAACACAGATAATCCATAGATTACTAGGGCACTACAGGCCTTATAAAACCACACATATTTGAAAACGTTTTAACAGAATCTGAGCTTTCACTTCTTAAGCTAGCAATCATGCTCTATCTATAAGCTTGTTAATTATTATTTAAAAATTTATTGTGATACTGAATTTTTTTATTTTTTTTGTGGTCAATGTGGAGGATAGTTATTATGTATATTCGATCAACCTCGAAAAGGATTTAACAGGATCGTTTCTGGTGTTGTTGAACTCATCCATATTAAAATTTTCCTGTTTCTGAATGTTCAATATCTAGACTGCATTAAGCTGTAATTAATAAATAAATGGTGGGCAATATAGAGTTGCTGCCAATCACCTTGTAACCTAACGGTATAGAAGTTTTCTTGTAAGTTAAGGAGAATTAAGGTTTTGAATTTTGCTCTGTAACCTCAAAGATGTCAGTATCTGTATTTTAAAGTGAAAAAAAGTGTTTCTTTGTTAATTAATTTAATTGAATATATGAATATTTCGTCAACACCATATCCAGGGGTTCGTCTTACACACCTCAATAATGCAAAAATCTATGTCAGATCGCAGGTCTTGAAAACAAAATTAGCTAAAAGAACACAGTTTGCACAAGCAATACTCTAAAGGGCATGCATGTGACATTGATTCGCTATTTGCTTCTTCACATTCTCTCTCTCTCTCATTATTATGTTTAATCAGCTGGCCAGGTGGCCTTCTTAGTATGATACACTTATTACATGCGAATGCGTTTGCAGCATCATGTAGTATAGATTATTTTATACTACCTTACGTCTTAATTATAAGACTTCGTTTATAGTCTACAAATAAGATTTTATAATTAGGACCACAAATATTACTGTATATGTATGTAAATAGCACTCGATCGTACAGATACTGATGAAATTGCGTTGATATATGCATAAGACTTCATTCGGTGTAACTTTTGTTCTTGGCTCTTCTTTAATAATACACGACTCACGAAATCCACCCCCCGGGGGGGGGGCGCGGGGGGAACGAAGTTGGAAGAACTTAAACACAGGCACATATATATACGACTAATTAATGGCTTCCGAATAATAAAGCTTTGATTTACTTAATATTGTACATATCTTTGCTCTATGCACATCGCCATTAAAAAGTCTTTTCTCCTTCACTGATCTGCCTAGCTTTGCCCAGAGAAGAAAAGAAAAACAAGGGCAATACATTATAACTTTATATAAAATTATACGAATATAAAGGAGTATATAAAACTATATATATAGCGAGTAAATTTAGGAACAATTCATGAGCTGGGAAGTGGCGAGAAGACAGCGCATTGCTTGAACCTGAGATCGGAGGGATTGAATATAATCTAGGGTTTCTTCAATCAAGGACACATCATCGTCCATAAGATCGCCACCTGGAACAAGCCTCTTTAGCATTTCTGTTCTCTTTTGGACCAGCCTCCTTGCAATAGAATCCGCCATCACTACTTTCTTCACTCTACTACGAACTGTACGGCGCCTTCTCTTCATGATCTTCCTGGTTCTATTAAGCATCCTCTTGTTCTTAAGCTGAGAAAATGAAGAAGAAGTGAAAGCCTTTCTTAGCCTTAAGCACTGCGAGGAGCCTATTACGTGCTCCGTCAGGACTTTGCTGTTATGGTCTCTGGAAGCAATATTGGCAATGAGGGCTCGGCTCCAACACTTGCTTTCAGTTCTGGTGGAAGCCATGGCTAAATCTGCTGACACTTTTATGGCCTTCTTCCTCTCTAACAAGCTCATGTTCTTCTTAAGGGACGTGCATTTTCCCATACCCTCCATCCATTTCTGGAGAAATTCTAGCTTCTCTGACCTGGGATTTTGCATTCTGTGAAAAAAGTTTGAAAATTTGGCATCAGCGTAATGGAGGCTAACAGATGGAACTCATGACTAGGGCGTTCAGGTAAAGAAGCTTGCAAATCAACGAAAGCATAATGCTTACCTCTTGTCCAAAATTGTCTGTTAACTGCACAGTAGAAGGATTCTCAAGAAATTAAAAATGAAATAATGTATGCGTTTTGCTGTTCGACGAAGTGTTATGGATCCAAGAAGGTAAAATACAGGAAGAGAGGGGGGAGAGAGAGGAGAATGAGAAGAAGAATGAGGATGAAGGGAATTATTTATGTGGTCGAAGGAAGGAAAGTGGTGGGGCGTAGGGAGAAAGACAGAGCACATGGTGGCACATGCAGGACCTGGCCCACACAACTTAACACTGAAGAAGAAATATGAATTATACGACAAATTCAAATTGTTTTAATCTCGCCTTTATCCGTTTAAAAGGAAAAAATGATACAAAATAATAATAGTATTATGTCTGAGATTTATTTTACCTTTCGCACATATAATCTGTTTTTTTTTAATCCTCCTCTAGCCAATTATACTATATATATACAGTGATTAACTAAATTAAGATTTTTGAATTGACATAGGCAAGAACTCTCAGTGCTAATAAGTATTTGAGCTTTTATTTAAGACATCAATAATTTTAAGAAGCCATGACCATTAGTTGATTACTATAATACAAGTTGTGTTATCTATTAACGGTTTAAGGTGATAATAATTTAATATTCTAAGACGATATCATTACCCAGAACTAATATATTGGCTAAAAATTACCAACATGTTGCACCGTTACATAAAAGAGAATCGACATGATGAAAAAGGAGGTAGTGACTAGCTATTTATACGGTCATATCAATACACTGAATAATTTTTTCAAGTTTAAATACAGAGACACATGTGAAGTTAATTAATGTAATGGAAACCTAACATTGGCATCTTGTTTTGAATGCAAACAAAGCACACTAAATAAGACTCTTGAAAACAATGGGGCTATATGGCCCACTATTGGAACTCCAATTAATAAGGGCAGATTGTCCCTTAACCCGCGGATATATTTGTCCACTCATCGATCATACGCGTACACTACACATTTCAACCAGTCAATGTATTTGAAAAGATCATTTTTTAACACCCATAGATCAACTACATATACCAATCATCAATCTATATAAATTATAGTAAATCTCACAGTTCATCAGTTAGGAACAGTATTTTATCTTAAGTTTTCGAAGCTCACTCTAGTATAATTATAATTACTGTACTTAGGTATCATATATATAAATACATATATATATTAGTATTCTCTTATGTGTCTTTGTAGTATGCTTTAACCAATTGTTCAGCATTTCTCTCTTTCCAGTCTTGAGAGTATTGTGTCAGTTAAATATGCATCAATGCACTGGCTAAATGATATATCTTACTTGTAAATTAAAGCTCATTGATATAGTTTTGGTTAAAAAAAAAATCATTGTAAGTAAAACTTAGAACATATTAATGTAAGCACTACCTTTAGTAGTGTTCAATATAAAAACTAGATAATTAACTTATAAATATTAAGAAAACTAATTAAATTAGTTATTGGTAACAAATTAAATGTTTTTTGTAGAATAAACCAAAATAACAAGAGGGGAGAGAATCATATTAGGTCAGGTTCAGATCGCACCGGCAAGATGAAAGAGGAGAAGAGATAACCGGAAAGCTCAATAATTGAGGTGAAAAAGAAGGGGCAAAAACACCTCCTATTTATAGAGTCAGGGTGACCGCTAATTTAGGAAAGTGCAATTTCACCCATTTGTTGCCCGATAATATTTCAATTCACAATCGACAATTAATGCCTACATAATTTCTCTTCAATTTTCAATCAAGTCCTCAATGCTTGATCAATCATTCCCTTTTAATAGTAATTGATTTTTTTTTATTAGAGAGATTCACCTCTCTTGGACCAAATAGTCCGGCCAATTAAGAGTGGACTCAGACTCATTGTCCAATAATTTTGATTTTTTTTAAACTATTACCTTTAATTATATGCATTGGAATTATCCATTAATTAAAAATCCTCTTAATATATGCAATCAATAGTGATAATTTGGGTAAAAAAATTATAGATTTTAAAGGCAAAGTGGATTGATGTCTTATATTTATAATCAAATCATACCCTTTAGCTAGCTTCTATATTTAGGATTGGATCTAATAATAAATACACCGAATAAAGACATAAGAGAAATGTAGTTCAAGTTCATATGCCATCTCGCAGAACTTCATCAACTGAATAATGAGTTTGTTTCTTTATGAAACGCAAAGTAGCTGGAGTGATGTTGAAAAGTTATTACAGGATCATGGTAAGACATTTTTCGATCACATGATTAGGTTGAGGCATGTTTATAAAATATAAAACATCAACAAGACGTTTAGTAATTACGTGACGCGACATTGGCAATATATATATAATTGATTTGATTGCTTGTTCGGCTTGATTGATAGGCACAAACAATGGTTTATGGCTTCACTTGAATTATGGCAAATTAGAAAATTCCATGATTCTTTTGTTACATTGAATTCGAGCGCCGTATGATTAAACTAAAGTGGTAACATAGCCGAATGAATTGGCAGGAAATACACGTTATTTTCTTGAAAACAATAAACTTTAGAATTTTCTATATAAAATCCAAATGGTGTTGGCAATCTTGTTCAAAGAAATTATAATTTAATTAACTGAACTGCACGCATGTGACCAATTGTTTTGATCAAATATATACTACTTCCGGTGCTTAATATAAGAAATAATTGATTAATTTAAGTATATTAAAAAAATTAGTTAAGTTAGTTATTTGTAATAAATGTATTATTTTTTTTAAAACACCATTGTTGATCATGTATATTAGATAGAACTATAACTTGATGAAATTTTTAACATGTGCAGCTAACAAGGACTACCTCGAGAAAAATGGATAAATATGAGAGATAAAGTGGATCATGGTCTTATATTTAGAATAAAATTAAATCTTAAACTAACTCTTCTATTAAGGACCAAATGTAATATATAGCATGTTACGGACAGAAAGTTAACACAATCAAGCATATCCCCACAAAAGTATTTAACAATTCGCTCGCTATGTCCACGTACAACGTTGGAGCTATATAATACGTGCTTATAGATAAAGTCTCAAGGCATGATAAAAATTAAAGCTTTTGTCTGCACCAATAATATTTTTATAACTTTAGATATATAAATATTTATATATATATATATAGGAAGGATATAAATCTATAATATCACATGGAAAGTTACATTATTTACACGCATCTTAAACTGCGTATAAAATACAGGACTGTTTATTCAAAAGCAAAAAGGATTCGCGTAGACTTGTTTTGTTTTTGGATGTATTCATTTATCAAGTTTTAAAATGGAATCTATCAATTTTGCTATAAACTTAATTAATTAAAAGGCAAGGTTAATGTTCCAATTTTTAATGGTAGAGGGGCTACTCTACATTGTTTCTTAGCTCTGTCGTATCTTTTTCAAGGTTGTGCGCATAAATGAGAAATGGGTTACGCCGCTGATTGTGGTACTGTAGTACAGCAATGTATGAAATTTTAAATTTAACTTTTCGTTGTCATGAGATACAACTTCTTGGTTTTTTTTTTTTTTAAATTTCCCCCCGAGGGGATTACAATTTAAACTTTCATCCTAGCTTATTATAATTTTTTTAAAAAAAGAAAGTGTAATTGATATCAGTTTTGAAGAATAAAAATATTTTCACAGACTCTCAATCATCTTTTTTATTTATTTATTATGGTAGTATCTCGCCACTAATTTAAAACAAAATAATGATGGAAGCAATATAATATCTTATCAATGTATGCCAGTGTAATATGACAAATTAAAACACATTATTCGTAAGTCATTTATCTGACTTCATGTAATATATGAAAATTAAAAATGTTTTATTTGTAAGCAATACGTGAATAGTAATTTTATAATTTTTTATATTTCATCTGCATGGTTATGTTATGGTACAATGATAAAGATGAACATATATGACATAAACAATGTAAGATTTATTTATTTTATCACATGTTATTTTATTTTGTCTATATTTTATAACACCGCGTCCAAATATCTTTCTATTTGCATTAAATTTGATGTGATGCCACTATTTAGGACCTATAAATTTTGCTACGCGAGACTCCATTCCTTATTATAAATTTCAAATAATTAATTTACGGATGATAAATAATTAGTTAAAATTAGTTTAAAACAATAAATATATTAGAAATATAATTTTTTTTAAAAATATGCTCTTGTAATAAATAAGAAAAAGGATGAAATAGAATGTGTGGGGAAGAAAAATGTGATAAGAGAGATTATGGTAAATAAGAGAGAATAAATAATTAAGGATAAGATTAAAAAAAGTGTATTAAATGCTAAAATGAATACTAAATTAAAGCTTATAAAACGGATCACACTCTTTCTAAATTTAAAGTTTATAAATAGTACAGGAAGGAGTATGTTCTAATATATTCATATTGCAAATTTGCAATAAAGCATAAATGACTAACTTTTTAATAAGAAGAAATGGAATAAGAATTCAGCTTAATTATATTAAGTACTCTTAAAAAATGTCATTAATAATAGACCGGATTATTATTGCGGAACTTGAATTTTGAGGGAAAATGAGAATAAAAAATTAATAAGCATGCAGGATCCGGAATACAAGCTGATAGGAGGCAATCAGGTCCCACCATTGATTGAATAATGAATCTCTTTGGGCTCTTTGGGTTTGGAATTTTGCCTTACACAAGAAAGTGCACTATGCAATCACCCACATGCTCCCCACATGGATGGCCCTTTTTAAAGTCTGTTCTCTTCCTCTCCCTCATTTCCCCCAATAATCAATTATCCTACAAATAAAAATTTCCTACTTCCCTTGCCACGTATTCTCTAATAATTGTACTTTTTAACCTTATTGAGTTGTTTATGCTTTTTAATTGATAATGTAACTTTATATAAATTTTACTCTTCCAGCTCTAAAAGTAAAACTTATTTTGTAGTGTAAACAAGACTCATTTTTGTAGTGTAAAGAATTTACAATATAAAATGAGTTTTACATTTAGGATTGGAGGAGTAAAATGTATATAAAGTTATCACACTATAAAATAGATCTTAGACTTAGAATCACACA